AAAAGTTTATACAGGAGAAAGCTATTGTATACAATACTGTCACTGTATATACGGTTACATTTGCAACTTTCTTGTTATTAAAACATAGGCCTTTTGGTTGTTATTAGTACTTCGTTTTGTCTAATCATTTCAAATGTTGGTTGAATATGTTATATCGCAGTTTGGACTAATGCTTATATTCACTTCATAGTTTGCTAACATTCTTCAAGATGAAGCAACATTCAGCGTCCGTATCCTGCCAACCTATTAAGGCTTGAATCCCGTTCCGAACAGGTGGGTGTGTTTTCGTGTGTAATCATTGTCAATATCACAACTTCACAAAGTAAAGGGTTCGTTTCCCTGCCTCATCCCTGACGTCTTATGGAAAGACATTATTCTCTATTTGCCACACTCGAACCAGGTAAAGGTAAATGGAAATCCGACGGGAATTAATTCCTTAAAATACTTGAGTGCCTTACAAGGAGCCTGGAGAGCTAGGGGTGTTCAATGTGGCAAACATGCTCGATGCAGGTCTACGCCAATTCAGTTGCAGTACTTTCATTATTGCGTACAAACATTGACAGATAAGAAAACAACCGGCAGGCAACGCTTGATGTCTAAATTCACTTTGTTTACCGTGACTTGCCTATTTGATAGCTTGCATTTGTTTTTGTATATAACATAAAAACAAAAAAATAAACCTTTCTCAATAATATACTCCGACCATGTATATACCCAAACGTTGTGTGTCCGGACATTTGATTTAAAACAGTGAAGTTTATGTGCAATATTTCATAAATCTGTTAGTTACTCTAGAGTTATTGAAGCAATATTGTAAAATACAGTGTTCATGATGGTTAGTCCTATTTGATGCATACTTTTCATGAAATTGAAATGCAAAAGGGAAGGCTTCATTTTTGTAAAGACACCCCTTATACATATGTACAAGCTAGCATATTACCTGAGTTAAAGGCCAAATCCTCTCAATATACTGAAGCATTTTTAAAAAATCTATTGTCCCTTAATAATTATGTTTGTTGTGTTTGTATTTCAGCTTTCATGCTGTTGTGAGTTTCGTGTGATGTCATATCTGACTTGTACGTCATCAAACACACCATGAGGACGAACCGCGAAATTCGAATCGCCTTCTATTCGGTATTCATCGGATTCCTCTCGGCTCTCATCCTTGTTCAACTCTACTTTTCACAATCAGATGCACGGAGGAAGCGCATCGATGAACGTCTCCAAAAGCAGGAGGAGCGATTCCGTGCATTGGCAAATTACCAGGCTGATTTGCAAGAGCATGAGCCGTGTAAAAATCAACAACCTAGAGCTTGCTCGAGGTGTCCTGATGCTCATGTTGCACTTCCGGAGTCACTTCATAAGTTTGTGGATGGGCATATGAAGAACCAAAGAGGTAGCCCTCTCGTGATCGCCAAGGCACAGAGTAAAGGGTAAGCCATAACATACATTCCTTGACAGGTCAATTGAAGCCACTTCACTCGACAACGACTCCAGGAAAAGTACCCTAGAGCGAGTACCACATTGTTGATATGGTCCGTTACCAAGGAATAATTGTCCGGGGGTATTGTCATAGGGTTTCTTTTTCTTCTCGGAAAGTAGATATGTGAGGATATATATTATCAACGTCAAAAAACTATTCAGAATTACAATCGCTCTAATTACCGACTATATTGATGTAGTCAGAATGGATATATCGCCGATGTAAGTTTCATGTTACAAACAATTTCGTCCCTGTGAATGTTTTTCAAAAACAACAACAAATAAAATATTAGTAATTTCCATCACTCTAATGACCGAGTATTTAAGGGTAGATTTGATGTTATTCAGTCTGATGTATAATATGGATATGTCGACAATGTAAATATGAAGTTACCTAAGTTACAATCATTTTTTTTCCCGTTGTCATATCACATACTCTAACTTTGAGATAACTATATTATAACTTTCTAAAAATTAAGACGACCACTTTAAAATTAGTCTTCATCAAACGATAACAAATATTAATGTACGGACCGACATTATGGATGCGTATGATGATACGCCGTCTGCCACAGATTAACAAAGAACCATCATTCAGAAAATCATGTTTTATACAATATAGCGTAAATTAATGAGTTTAAAGATTACACAGCAGCTGTTGCGAGATATATTCTTATATGATATTACTTTATAATCCACAGCATTCCAAGCTACTATTTATCAACTCATCCAAAGGAGAAAGACCAGGAGACAGCACACCTGCTATCAGGGCAGACAGGCTGGCAGGATAAAACATTAATAAGACTTTGTCATCTCATGAACAATGCCCATGAGGATGCCTTCTTCGTGGATGTTGGTGCATACGTAGGCGAGTTTTTAAAATGTTGTTGAAGAAAAGAAGATTGTAGAAAACCTTGGAAGGTAATAAATGACGTAGGTTCACACAAGGAGTACACGCTACTTTCAAGGGGATATTAATTTGAAATAGATTGAAGATCGAATGTGATCTCGGGAATGTTCTGGATCTTTTTACAGTTAGTCGACAAAATTAGTCGGAAAAAAAATGAAAAGTTTATGACAAGAATCGATCGTTATCAAAGAGGCTAAAAATTTGATAGGGGTTGGTTGGAAATAAGAACACACGGAGAACACACTCTTGTCATGAGGATTTGAAATTTCCAGGGAGTTGGCCTTATGTATGGTTCGAGTACAAGAGTACCAGAACCTGGTGTATGAACTATTCAAATCTCTTGAACGAGTAAAGGATTTGAAAAGAAAGGAAAGATAGTAGGAATCATTGGGTGTTGGCGAATGACATAGGAGCATGCAATAATGTCTGTTTGAAGAAAAAATATGCTTTGAAGGCCCTCGAGAAGTCGGTCTTTTGGATCTTCTGTCAAAGCTAAAGTTCAGTTCAGTACTTTGATAGGTCAGAGAGCTTCAAGTGCCAAGTGCACAACCACTTTGATATATTTCTACACCACAATTTTAGTGTTTTAAAAGTCGTATTACCTGTTAGGGGACTATAGACACATGTATCATGCATTTTGTAGAGGAGCGGCATGCATGGGTAGGGTAAATATAGGTAAACCACTTGGTATACTAGAGCACTTGTGATTTATGAACTGGCTGGACAGCCAGAACACATTGCAGTGGCATCTGGTGTCGTTTACTTTCTTATTTTTAAAAATTTATTTCCTTCTGGTAGGGTCAGGTTTGAATGCTTTTAAATGTACTTTGCTTTTGTGTCATGTGATGTTGCCTTTCCCCAGTATAAGTTTATACCTCCATACCTTATGTGTTCCACGAATGTCATATGTTACATGTGTTAGAAATGTTTAGTTACTTTTTTCTAATAGAGAAGTGATACATAACATCATCTGAGCAGCAGTGACCCAATTTAATTGGCCTATTTGGGGCTCCCCTTACAGGAACTGCTGGTGTGACCAGTTCTCAACAGGTATGTGTTGATACCTGAACTGTCTGAACAGACTATTGTTCGCAATTGTACGCTATATACCACCCCTCCCCCCAATAAAAAGGATACCATGACACAAGGCAATTTCATTTTCTGTCAATATCTAGGAATATGCGTGGCAATATGATGTTAATATTTGTCTCTGTATATCATCTAGGTACCATAGCGATGGGTGTAGCTGCTTGTGGACATCGAGTGGTTGCCATAGAGCCGCATCTTCAGAACTTTCAGCTCCTACAAGAGAGTGTGGCTTTGAACAAACTGGACGATGACAGGATCTTTCTCTATAACATAGCTATCGGGAACCAGACAGGAAAGACTTGCATTGCTGCTAGCTCCAGTGATCACAGCAATGCTAGAATACCACCATTAGGTGAAAGAAGGATTATTTAAGAAATGTTTCCTATTAGTTGAAATGTTTATAAAAACAATGCTTCTGTTTGAATTTGGAGGAAGCTCTCCTACAGGTCAATAATTTAAAGATAATTCTAATTTCTATTGTTTTACCCTTTCTACTGAAATTTGAAATATCTATTATATTAGTAAGCCTTATCTTTTTCGTTTAGAAGTACATCACGCCGACTTTCTTTGCTCATGTTCTCTTCTTGTCTTGCTCCCTATATGTAATAATAATTTGATTTTACAATTAAAACAGGGGAAGGCGAAGCAAGACGTGACTTGGGCAAGAAAGAGATTTTTTATTTGTCTGCTAGGCCTATAGTCAACATTATCGCTGAAAGGTATTTCTAATTAGACAAGATACGGCGATGTATATGGAACTGAACTTCTTCCAAAGCTTTTGTATTTGTAACGTTGTACTTGTCTGAAATTATAAGAAATTTAATTTTTGAGGGAACAGAAATGTTTTTTTTCTTCAGGTATGATATACGAATATTGGCTTTGTTGCTTGTATATAGGCTTATCCTTTATTGCATTTTCTTAAACGTCAATCTATTCACCAAATAAGCAGTTAAATATTTCACTGAATGCATTTTGTTTTTCCTCTCATATTTCTCTTCGCTTGGTAGATCCAAAAAGTCCCTTGTATTGCAAAAACGGGGAAATCCCCATCAACAGGCTGGATGACGTCATGAAGGAACTACCAGTATGGATCTTACACATTGATGTGCGAGGTTATGAACCAGCTGTCATCGCCGGGGCTGAGAAACTACTGACACGGGAATCCCCGCCAAAATATCTTATGTTTTCCGTTCAACACAGGTACAGCACGAATGCGATGGGGAACATGGTGGATTTTTCTGATATTTTGGATTGGTTGATTAAGATTGGATATAACCTGAAGACAGCGCAACATGAAAGCATCAAGCATGGAAAAGAATACCTTGCCAATGTAGGGTACGATACCGATTACGTCACGGCAGTATTTGAACCAGAAACGTAAACGATGGAACAATAAAGACTTTAATATTGTTTCAAGAATTAATTGCGTCGCATGGACATTTCTGGAAAAAGTTTCTTTTAACGATGAAGAGAGACTGATCTTAACGTAAGAAACAAATGATTAATGATAATCATAATAATGATAGAATCCTGCCGATCTCAGCTATTTTTGTATAGATTCATATTAGTTTTGAAACTTTCGCTTCGATTATGTCAAAAGAAACTCTTGAGGACAGTATACATGTATACTTTTATACTTTTCATACTTGTATACCGATGGAGGACATCATGAACGTCCATCTTGCATTTTGCCAAACATGCAACGGTGGACTCAGAATTGTTGCCTCAATCATGCTGTAATAATGATTCCCTCAAGGGCATTCCCGCAAAGCAAAAACTATTGTCCTTCATAAATAATGCGACAAAGGAGGCAAAGGCCCTCCATGCATGATCGAGAAAGGTCGGCTGTGATATATATGTAGAACCATTGATACAAACCCTCAATTAACTTGATGGATGGGAGTCAAAGTCCAAATGACACAAATTGTATTGTATTGTATTAAATTTGATCAATATTATACGTAAACTGAGAGCGAAGCTGCGGCTAACAGTATAAGTTTGTACAATTGTATGAGTACCCGCCATTCTGCCCCTCAGCAGAATACGTTGCCCAAGTGAGGTGGTTGTCGAACAATACACATACCAGATGAGAGAAAGGAGGATACATAGACAGATAAAGATAGATAAATAGAGAGATAGGGATAAAGAGAGAGAGAGAGAGAGAGAGAGAGAGAGGAGGGGGGGGGTGGGTTGGGAGAGGGATGGGGACAGAGACACTGGCGTACCTGAGGGGGGGGGGGCAAGGGGGGCAGAGTGCCCCCCCCCCCTGACGGGCTCCAGGGGGGAAAAAAGGAAAAGGGGGGAAGGGAAAGGAAAAAAAGGAGAAAGAAAAAAAAGGGGAAAGAAAAGAAAAGAAAGGAAAGGAAAGAAAAATAAAAAAGGAAAAGGGGAGAGAAAATAAAAGAAAAAAAAGAAAAGAAAGAGAAAAAAGGAAAAGGAAAAAAAGGAAGAAGAAGAGAAAAGGAAGAAAGAGGGAAAAGAAAAGGAAAGAAAAAAAAAGGGGGAAATTATTTTAAAAAAGACCATGGCCGAAAGCACCGGGGGGGGGGGGGAATTGACCCCAGATATTTTGAAAACGTACAGAAAAATGTTTAACAAAGCTCACGAGTAGTGAAGTGAGTAGTGAAGGCCTATACCAAATCCCTTCAATTCTACTTTTGAAAAATGCAAAGTACCCTCATAACCAGTTTGGTCGCTCGAACTCCCTTCACTTCTTTTGAGTTTCTTCAAAAACTTTTTATGCATCTTTCCCCCTCCCCCATCAGAAAAATATTCCGCATACGGCAAAGAAAAAGACAAATGAATATAGGAAAATATAAGTGATATAACAAATTCGACACTCTTCGCTGGCGCGAGCTGCTTGCTAGCCTATTTTGTATTAATTATTTTCACTTGCTCGTCCCCCTGAAAAAAAGAAAAGGATTAGCATTGCCTAGAATACAATTGTGTCTGCCCCGACTGGACCCGACCTGCAACCATGGCAACCATAACACCCAGTTTGTGTACCAAATGTTACTAAAAGAGACTAATTAATGTTTTCTCGCTCGCTACGCTCGCTCGCGAATAAATGAAATAGACATTGCTTTGAAAACAATTGACCTGCAACAACATCATTAAAAATGGAAGTGTTTTTTCGCCCTCTCGCCAAAAAGGAATTGATATCGTGTTAAACGAGATTGCGCCAATCCCGACCTGCACCAATAAAAACAAGTTTATGTATTAATTTCTATTAAAAGAGAATTGATTTTTTTTGCATCGCTATGATCGCTCACCAAAATGGAAGTGACATTCCTAACAAAATATGTGCGCTCCCCTGCCTGCAACGAAAATCCCAGTAAATAAGTACCGAACGTTATTTTGAGAGATATTGTTTCCTCGCTCGCCAGAATTGATGAATTGATTGATTTTAGTGATTGATATATGAGTTGATTTGTTTTTTGTTTTACCCTCTCTTGCTACGCTGTCTTTACAATGAACATCGCTAACAAACATGCTCACCCCAACCTACAACAAATTACCAGTTGATAATTATGTACCAGACGTTAATCAAAGAAAATTTGGTTTGCTCGCAAGCTACGCTCCCTCGCCAATATGGAATTAACATCACCTTAAACATGATTGTGTAAGCCCCGACCTGCAACAAAAAAACTGAAAATTATGCACCAATCATCATTAAGTTTGTTTTGTCTGCCCACCAAAATGGGATTGACATTGGCTTAAACACGATTGTACCCACCCCCGACCTGCAACAAAGACACAAAGTTTACGTACCAATTCATTGAGGACAATTGAACCAAGTTTAATTGGCAATATTATTATTAAAAAAAGAAGCGATTTTTTATTCTTGCTCGCTACGCTCGCTCGCCAAAATGAAATTAACATCGCTAACGTGCCCGCCCTAACCTGCAACAACATTACTAGTTAATAATTATGTACCAAACATTATTCAAAGAAGTTTTGGTGTGCTCGCTCGCCAAAACGGAATTAACATTACCTTAGACATGATTGTGTAAGCCCTGACCTGCAACAAAAAAACCCTGAAATTTATGAACGAAAAATCATTAAAAAAATTTGGCTCGCTCGCTACGCTCGCTCACCAAAATAGAAATAACATCGCTTTAAATAATCATATCTCTGACATGGATCAATGAAGTCAAGTTTATGTACCATGTTCTCACCGTAGAGAAGTGATTTTTTCGCCCGCTAGCTCGTGGAATTGTGCCCACCACTGACCTGCTACAATATCATTAAAAAGAGAAATGTAGGGGGGGGGGGGGTTGCCTGCCCGCCAGAATGGGATTGAAATTGCCTTACACACGATTGTGCCCACCCCGACCTGCAACAATGAAACAAGTTATTTATCGCAATTCATTAAGAGAAAGGTGTATTTTCGCTCGCTAGCTAAAATGGGTATAAAATCACCCTAAACACAATATAAATAATTGTTCCCGCACCCGGCATGGGACAATAATTTGGACCAAGTTTAAGTGGCAAATATTAAAAAAGAAGGGATTTTTTTCTTGCTCACTACGCTCGCTTGCAAAAATGAAATTAACGTGGCTAACAAATGAATGTGCCCACCCCGAGTTGCAACAATACCGATTTATATACCAAACGTTACTTAAAGATTTTTTTTGCCCGCTCGTTCGCCAGAAGTGAAAATTAGCATCGCCTTTTTTGTTTTGTTTCGATCGCTTGCCCCCCCCCCCCCCCCTGACGGAGTACCCCAGGTACGCCACTGGACAGAGATGAGGATGCAATGAGGTGGATAATATGACAATTGGGCCTTCATAAGAGTGAGTATGGAGTGAAATAGGTTGTTGTTGTTTTTATTTCCGTATAATTAGATCAGATAAAATACACACAAAGTAATCATATAGAAAAAAGGACAAAAAAGGCTGGTAGCCCATTTTCAGCTGCAACTATATTGTTTCTGCTGGTCTTCCATGGGGCCAAAAGAAGTTGAGGGAAAGAGAATGAACTCCGATAAATAGAAAGAGAGAAAGAAATCCGAGAAATAGAGCTAGAAAATGACTGTTGGGAGAAAAAAAGTATGTCAATTAAAGACTGAGGGATTGGGGTCAAAGAGGGTGAAAAAAAGACGACGGGAGGAAAGTAAAACCTGATAGTTAATTATAGAAAGAGAAAGAGAAATAATTATTAAAGAGAGGAGAGACAGAGAAGGAGAGGAAGAGGGGAGGGGAGATAGAAAGAGAGAGAGAGGGAGAGAGAGAGAGAGAGAGAGAGGGAGGGGGAGGGGGTCATTGAGAGCTTAAATGCGATACAACAAGGAATAATGCAGCACCACACCACTTTTAGTTTAATCGAAAGGCACTTTTGTTTTATTTAATATTTCTAAATTATTGTTTAATTGTACACATTAATCAAACAAACATGAAATCGAATACTGTACAGTACTACATGTCGTAAGTATGAAGGCACGAATAAACAGCTGCTGGCATGATGCCCACGACATCTTCTCAACATTTTTTCTATATAAAACAATTTATAATTTTGTTTGTCAACAGTTCTTTCAATATATTTTGTCTTTTATATTACATATATTTTTCATGTAAATTGAATTGATTTCTACATTTCCCTTCCATAAAAAACAAAAATAATAAACACGATAAACATATTAATCGTTCAACACATAATGACATAATAGACATTTGAAGGAAGAAAAAAAAGAAGAAAACAAAAGCAGAAATACAGAATAAGATGAAACTGCAAACAAATTAATGTCAAAGTGGGGGATTATAAAAAAAAAAGTAATGAAGTTACAACGTAGCCCCATGTTTGTATTATTATATGTATAATTTATATTGGAAATATTAGCTTCGTATATCTCTAATTGATCTTGACTTCACAGTAAGTCTCTTTTTCGGATTCGTATTCAGATGACCCTTTTACTTCAAAGAAATGAACATTACCCTGTTACTTGTCAATAACTATTCCACATTTGTAATGCTTCTAATTTTTAGGTATGATTTATATGAAGAAAAACACATACAAATTGCATCAAATAAATCAGATCAAATAGAAACCTATTGGAAAACTCAGAGTACAATTAAATGATATGTGTTTACTGAACTAATTATGGAATGTTATGTTTACTTTGTAGTTGTAAAATGATAACAGCTCGCTATCTAATTGTAGTTCTATTTCTATCTACTAAGCTCTTTATAATGTAAGATAAAGAATTTCTTGGAGAAATTTCCATGTATGAAATACATGGTGACATAAGACAAACGAAATCATGTAGTTAGTCAAGAATGTACTGCAGTAGTACATGTAAAATACATATATGCCATGAACAGCTACAAAAAAGACATTGAGTATCAAGTTGAATGGAAGACAAAAGACGTACAAAGGCCGTGATAAAAATAATTAAAAAACTATCTAGGACTTAGACCTTTTTCAATGTCGGCTGCTAGAATTTGTGCACCCCGTATTCGTTGAAGTATATAATAATTCTACATTTCATGTGAATTTCAGCACATTTAAAGCAAGTGGGAATTAGCAACGAATGTATTAACCCCCACCCCCTTCTATATACTCTAGACGTTATATGCGCTAAACGTTTAGGTTTGTTCTGGACATTGGTTGATATGCGCTCAAATAAGACCTTTTTAATGTCGGCTGCTACCATTTTTGCACCCCGTTTTCGATCACTGATGCATATAATCAGAAGGCGGTGACTATCATTGGATCAAAGAAAGAATCACGTTGAATGTCCATCCGTAAAAGGTCCATAGTAAGAGTGTGTCTTTATAAAAAAAAACATAACCAATCGGAATTTGTGCACCCCGCATTCGATGAGGTATATAATAATCTACATTTTGATGTGAGTTTTAGCACATTTAATGCAAGTGGGAATTAGCGGCGAATGTATTAAAGGCCGAAACCCCATTCACCGATATACTCTATACGTTATTCGCTATTAACGAAAATATTTATTCTAGACATTGGTTGATATACGCTCAAATTAGACCTTTTTAATGTCGGCTGCTACAATTTGTGCACCCCGTAATCGCTGAAGTATATAATAATCTACATTTCATGTGAGTTTCAGCAAAATTAAGGCATATGGGAATAAGCGACGAATGTATTAAAGGCCGAAACCCCCTTCACCGATATACTCTACATGTTATGCGCTACTAACGAAAATATATGTTCTGGACATTGGTTGATATGCGCTCAAATAAGACCTTTTTCAATGTCGGCTGCTAGAATTTGTGCACCCCGTATTCGTTGAAGTATATAATAATTCTACATTTCATGTGAATTTCAGCACATTTAAGGCAAGTGGGAATTAGCAACGAATGTATTAACCCCCACCCCCTTCTATATACTCTAGACGTTATATGCGCTATACGTTTAGGTTTGTTCTGGACATTGGTTGATATGCGCTCAAATAAGACCTTTTTAATGTCGGCTGCTACATTTTTTGCATCCGTTTTCGATCACTGATGCATATAATCAGAAGGCGGTGACTATCATTGGATCAAAGAAAGAATCACGTTGAACGTCCATCCATGTGAATTTATGATCCACGCTTCAACGATTTTCTTCAGGTGCATTGTCTGGTTAGCCTGCGATTCTGCACATGTTATTGTTGTGAGCGGTTTCGCAGTGTACGTGTGTACACTGCGCAGACGTCGAGGTCAGTGAGAATTATCCACTTCACGATCATAGTGAATTGCCAAGCTTATAGCTTTCCTTTCTATCTCGCACAAACCGTTTCGTTTGTTTGCTTGTTTTTGTTTTTTCTTATTTTGGGGGTTCCAAATTCATCTATTTCTAAATCATTGGCCTGAGGGTGAAATGAAGACATTTGTGCGTCTGAATTGCATCACGTGACACTATACTGCAGCGATTTGTGCTTGTACATACACTACGCAGCGAATGTCATGTAGGCAGCTATGTAGAATGCTTTAGTATTCAAAGATGTATATTGCCGTCTAAATGCCTGTATGCAGGGCAGCTGTTGTTTGGATGGAACACACATAGTGGCTGATTTGAAAGGTGAGTTTGCGAACAGAAAACCTTATTTCTCACCATGTCTCGCATCTCGTATATATACACCTCAGCAATATATGTAGCTTCCGCCTTTAATAACTCCTTGGCCTAACAACGTGTTACCCTATAGCCCCCTATTTCTCTCTCTCTCTCTCTCTCTCCCCCACTCTCTCTCTCTCTCTCTTTCTAGCTCTTTCTAGCTCTCTTTCTCCTTCTCTCTCTCTCTCTCTCTCTCTCTCTCTCGCTCTTTCTCTCTCTTTATATCCTATATAATATACTCATTTAAACTAATTAATTATTTTACCCTTACCAAGGTTCTTTTAATTTTGTAAAGATATAGACCGGTAATGGTAAAATTGCGGTTCAAGGGTTTTGGGTGCAAAATATCCATTCAATGTTGTTTAAATATTGCCTTCAGAGGTTTGGATGGTAATACTTAAACCTAAATTCGCAAAAAACAGAAATATATGCCCTTAGTGTTCAATGTTGAAGTGCATTTGCGATATCTATGCAGGCCGGATCGATATGATAATTTACCAAATATATCAATTAATAGGCGGTTTCCCGGCAAAATTTGTATCATCACGTATAAACAAACAAATTCTTTCACATGATTGGTAATAAGAGCTTCCATTCATTTTTGAGAGGGGGGCGTTTCCAAAAATGGTCTATACCTTTAACACTTATCAAGGGTATTGGAAAAATCCATTGTTTCCCGCTCTGCACTGTGATGGATTACCTTCGATTGAACGATTTTTCCATCTCCAAATGCTTAATATAAATATGACATGTATGCTTGAAAACGTTTCATTTTACAGCTTGCAGTGCGTGGGCCCCCTATTTTTGATTTTCATTTAAAGGTGCATTTACGTGCATAGCATGTGGGAATTGTTTGTCCTAATTTATGTTTCTTGAGAATGTGACACATTAGAGCATAACATCTAATAGTATACCTCATAGGCCCTAATTCAACCAGTCCACTTTTCATTCTTGAGTTACGGAAAACACAACAAACATCAAATTCACAAGGGGTATGAATAATCATATTTTTTTTTTCTCTCTCTCTCTCTCTCATGTACTTTACCAGTGCTTGTTTAATCTCTCTCGATTATCATCAAATCTCTCATTTCCTCTCATTGATCCAGCTGTTGTCAGTATTGTGATATTGAATCAAAATCCAATATCGCTTTTTCGTCTCGTGCGTGTGTGTTTGTGGGTGTTGGTTTGTAGAAAATAATTGAGATTATTATTCTTTTGGTTGCTTGCTTTTGTTAATTTGCCTATCATGATTGTCAATTTGTTTAATCACATAATATCATTCAAATGTGAATTTATAAGCATACAGCACAAAATACTACACAAAATATGGATACCCTTTAGACTTCTATGAGTCTACGTACATGTACATGTCCTAGCCATAGACTTATTTCTATACATATTACATGTGAGATTCACGATCGATGTTTGCCTGGGTCTGATTTCCATCGCGACACCTCGCTTTCTTACAATGACGTCACAGACAGTGGAAGCACAAGAAAATTAAAGATTCCGCACAGGACCATGCACGGTCGGGTGTAAAGGGGGGGGGGGGGGGTAAAGATGGGGGAGGGGAGGGAGATGCATCTAAATTATGTACATACAGGTATATAACCCAAACTCCTTGCTGTAACTCACAAGTCCGTGCATCTTGTGATAACATTGACTGTAATATGAGGAATGCATTCCATCTATTCACAGTTTTTTGCTAGAAAGTACATCGATTAATTTTTGTATATTGCTAAACTTTAGATTAGAATTTTGTAGGTTGGCCAACTTTGCCTTTCAGCGGCTAAAGTCATTGCCTAAAAAAAAAAAATTACTGTTGATATTATTTCATATTGCATCTAGGGCAGCGTTTCACGAAGCCGTCCTAAGTATACAAGTTCGCCTACAACCATTGAAACCCCGGCCCCCCCACTCAGTGTTATTTAGGGTACGCATATGCGTGTTCCAACCGACCCCCCCTTTTCAGCAAAAGTCCGGTGTGTAAAGTCAATACGGCTCGACCTTTTTCTTTTGTATACGAGCCTTTTTCTGCACCCCCCCCTTTTCAGCAAAAGTCCGGTGTGTAAAGTCAATACGGCTCGACCTTTTTCTTTTGTTACGAAAAGGACATTTTGGCAACACGCATGCGGTCATTTCGAAACCTGAGTGGGGGGGCCGGGATTGAAACACGTCTCAATGGGATTTCGGTGAACTTGTACCCGGACTTGTACTCATTAAATGGTGGATGACCTACTTACTTTGAAACGGGATAAAGGAGCTTGGAGCTGGGATCCTGTTTTTCCTTCTACGTACAGCCCACAGGAAAGCGAAGCCAATATTTAGAAAATAGTTAGGGGCTTGCGTTATAATATGTTTAGACGTATCTTCCTTTCCCGGCTAATTCCATTCTTGTTTTCAATAAAAAATAAAGAAATTTATATATAATAATTGTTGCTAAAACTGGGCCTTCTCAAGATTTCTAGATATTTGAGATACATGTAGTTTGTATCCTTCGCTAATACAAACTGGTACGTTAGGCCATGTGTCTATAGCTGCAAACACTTTTCTCAATTCTATGAATCTATTCTATTTTGTAAGATCAAGGAGTCAAGTGAAATGATTGAGACATGCACGCACAAGCTTACGCACAGGTCATTGCTAGCGATCGAGACTGCGTTAAACCATTTTACCGTTTGCCCATTTAGCTAGGAATCGTATTTATCCAAGCTTATTCACACCTAATTATTACACAATGCCCTCCCCCCCTCTCCCTCTCTCTCTCTCTCTTCCCCTCCCTCCCTCCCCCTCTTTCACTCCCCTCTTATATCCCCCTTTACCGCTTAAAAAGTCTTGAACCAGTTGTAAAAATAGAGGGGAAAAACTATGATCTTTAGATAACGTTTTTCCTTCAATAAGGAACTATTCTGTGGATTTGTGACTACGATTTGTCGTCCCTTTAGAAACCAATGCGAAGAATGGATAGAGTAAATAGTGGTATGAATGGTCTGCCATAGGTCAAGTTAAACTAAAGTCGATCTTAGTCTTTGTGACCCCCCCCCCCCCCCCCATTAGATCTTTCGTCTACTCTGATATATAGTATTCGTTTATCGACTGTCTATCTTTATTCCCTTCATCTCATCATTCTTTCTCCAAGTCGCCTTAAATGAGGGGTGCATATTACGGAGAAAGGAAAAGTAAGCAATTATTAAATGGGAGAAAAACAGTTATTAGAAAAGAAAAGGTGCGCGTGTCAAAGTTAAAAGGGCAATCATCAGAGGTTAAAATGGCACTGATGAGAATGGAAATGGGGAATATGTTGAAGGAAAAAGGTACCTATCAGATTTTAATATAGCCATTTTATCAAATGGGGGGAGAGGCTCATATAAAAAAGGAAAAGGGGCACTTATCCGAAGGAAATATTGTACTTATTAAAAAGGAAAAGGGGCACGTGTCAAAATAAAAGGGGCACTTATCATTGTTGAAAAGTGGCAGTTAAGAGAAAGGAAAGGGGTTCTAACTTCTTACTACGAACGAAAAAAAAAAACACTTGTTAAAAAGGAAAAAGTTAAAGTAAGAAAGGGCTAAAATATTAGAGGTGAAAAGGGAAATTTTTCGCACCTGTAATGACGTACTCACAAGAGATGGAAAGCGAGGAAAAGGACAGTTTTTAGAAAAGAAGAGGGGCACATGTCCGATGTAAAAAGGGGCTTTTACGGGCTACCTGAAAAATTAGGGGCACATTTCCCCCCCCCCCCCCAACGGGAGTTCCGCCTGTGGCATAATGGGCAAAAGTAAGAAGAAAAAACAAAGGAATATCATGTCATTTCAGTAAGATTTGTAAATCACTGGTATCGAATTAAAAATAAACCACATTTGAATTGAACTTGGGTGGGGGGGGGGGGGGGGGGGGTCAACTGCCCCCAAGCCCCCCCCCATCAGTACGCCAGTGATGTACGATATGGTACAAATAATCACCCCCCCCCCCCAAACAAAACCAAAAAATAAATAAAATAAAATAAATAAATAAATAAATAAATAAATTAAAAAAAAAAAAAAAATTATAATATAACAAAAATAATAGTCCTTTTTTCATAGTGAGGTGCCATTTTGCGCAATCAGAAAAATAAAAGAGATGGAGATCCTTCATGAATATGATAAATAACTTGTTTTACCCTTCCACCTGTGCATTATGGAATGCATCGTTGATGAAGAGACAATATTTTATTATGCTTCTTTCAGCTACCACCACTACTGGAATAAAAGGAAAAACAAGAATCGTTTTTCCTTGTGCCCCGACGAAAACGCAAGGCCCCCAATGTCGCTTTGCTCCCATCAAATTTCAAACACCCCCTTTAAAAAAATTTGCGTACGCCACTGATGACATTTTTTCTTGTTCTGATTTTTCAGACTGTAAAAGCCATCTGTTGTGAATCAAGAAGTAGCCTTACCTACAATCATGACGGGGAAGTGTGGACTATCCCGACCCTCTCTTACTCGATGGCGATGGTTGATCCTGGTTGCAGCTCATATATGTCTTATGTTCGTTGATGGCATCTCTAACTGCACAGGGGTCTTCATAGTCCACTGGCAGCATCACTTCCAAGCCTCCACGGCTGAGCTTAGCACTGTTCTTAGCATACAGATGGGAGCATACCATTTTGCAGGTGAAAAGTCTTTGGTTTACATGTTCAATATGCAATTGATTATATGAGAGGAAGGAGGGCCAAAGTCCTTCATATAAATTTTGATTTATCAAGAAGAAATTTGATATAATCAGTCTGTAGAGGTGTGGTGGTACAGTGGTTCATGCACTTTACTCTCAGTCCAAGGGTGAATCATGGCTCCAATCCCAGTCTGGCATGAACGTCATTTGGCAAGACAATAATTATTATTCACATTTACCACTCTCTTCCCAGGTTTAAATGAGTATTTGACAATTGCTGGGGTGATATATATTTTTTTATTATCCCAAATTATATGTTTATTTGATGTATTTACATTGTTTCACACTGCCCCAATGGAAATCAGTATTGTAACTTTTTTTTAAATAGTGTACAAATAAAGATATCAACTCAATTCAATAATAATTGCCGAGCCTCAAGAAGAGCAGCATTGATGCTGATGAGGCTTCAATGGATAGTAGTAGTTGTTGTTGTAGTAGTAGTAGTAGTAGTAGTAGTAGTAGTTTAAGTCTAAACGTTAAACAGACAGAACGCTTACAACATGTTTTTGTTTTAATAACTAAAAAGGGTGTTTTGATGGACCGACTTGGACCTTCATGTACGCGATTAGATTCACATATTTCTGGAGTGATCAGTCGCTGTATACCAAAAAGGTAGATTTGGAGGGGATTGGCTTGTAGCCTTCTACCCCAAAATAAAAAATTCTGATCCTGTAACTAAGTCTACCACCTCCCCCCCCCCCCCCCCGCCACCCGTGTCGAATCGATCATGTTAGTATTGACATGATATGGGGTTATAGTGCCTCGGGTAAAAACCTAACTGCACAGTGACATGCTTTTAACTGGTGCCGACCCGTATACGAATGGAAAGTGAGAAAGTATTCTGTCAAAACCGTCTCCCACTCGATGACGATGGCTGATCCGCATTTGTATGTCTTTTATACTAAGAACCTACATATTGTGCTTTACTTTCTTGTTCTGAATTTCCGACTGTGAAGCCGTCTGTTGTGAATTAATAATAATAAGATGATATTAATACTAATACTACTAATAATAATAACAATAATGATAATAATAATGATACTTATGTTACTTATGACTGTAAAATTGGATTTATATTGAGGATACAAGGCGCTGTCCCTTAGTCAATTAACAATGTAAGAAGAGTTGTAGAGGTACATGTGTATGTTTGCAGATGTATTGTGAAGAAGTCAAGAGAAGTACTATTTATTAAAAATGCAGTTAGTTTATTCCATATGCGTGGGGGATCGGATTGAAGGGATTTGAAGCCATCTATACATTGACTGGTTAACCCATCATGCCCATGAAAGCTGATTATTAGCCTATTACAAATGTAATTTTTATAGATATATGGCGGAAAACAAAGATCAGGGAGAGGGATAAGAAGAGGAGGAAGTAGAAAAACGGAGTACACGTGTTCAGTGCAAGTCATGTACAATCGAAAACCTTTTTTTATTATTACACTTTAAACCATGTTTTTCAGGACCACTGCATTCAAAACTCTAATTGCAAAGTTACCATTATTTTTTCGCACAGGAGCAATTTCTGGGGCAGCCATTCACAAGCTTGGAGCTCGTGTTGTTGTCATCATCGGTGGAACCATTAGTACTATTGGTCTTCTTGTGAGTAGTGTAGCGCCCTCTCCGTGGGTCCTGTACGTGTCTGCTGGTCTTCTTGCAGGTATGGTCTTACTGAGTCCATTTTATCACTGAATATTTGTAATTCGTTCATTCGTTCTTTTTTTTTCTTCATTTATTTTTCAATTGTGCGTGTGATGAAACACCATGATCAGCACGAATGTTGTTTTAAAAGGGGTCCACTATGAACATAATAAATGTTATGTCCGTCCACACGATGCTCATTATTCTCTCATAAGATATCACAGGTGAAATGATTGGATAAAGGTTTTAGGGGAATCCAAAGACATTGTCAGATAATTTCCTTTATAAAAACATAGTTGTTGTGATGTTGTCCGATTGCTTCTTATAAGGTAACCAAGATAGACAATTGAGATAAATTCTAAATAAGAGAATTTGTATTGATTCAGTCATAAACATTGTCAAAAGTCGTTGTCAAAATTCTCTTCCTTTTTGTTGTTGTCTTATCCAAAGCTATGGCCTCACCGTAACATGTTTTATTTTATTTCCATCCAGTGTTAGATAAACTTTGCTCACAGTATCTGAAAAGTGTTCGCTCTGTGTTCATGGTCCTTACAGGTGTTGGTTACGGCTCTACACTTAACGCCATAACAGTTTGCATCGCTGAATACTTTACGAAGTACTACAGTATAGCTCAAAGCATAGCCAGTGCGGGTTCAGCCGTCGGTATAATCCTGCTTCCGCCCCTGACCCAATACCTGGTATCGGAATATGGATGGAAAGGAGCTTATCTTGTGCTTGCTGGATTGTTGGCCAATTCCCTTGTTTGTGGCATGTTGCTTCGTCCTCTGTCGAGTTTCCCGCGTGAAGTTGATGGTTGTGATCACATGCAACCAGAAGAGGGAGCACTAAAGAAGGATGCAATGACTCAGTTTGAAGGGAGTGAAGACGAGGACGATAACGAACAGGAGAACGACCACGGGGATGTGGATTTGGATGAAGTTACGTCACCAAGCAATAGAAATAATGCTTCTAGAACTACCGACAACACTGGCCATGGCTGCAGTGACGAGTACCAAAGGTTGAGCAGAAGACGTCAATCTCGTCTGCAGAGTTTGGGAGGAGTCACTGGAGCCTCACTCTTGATCGAAAACTACCGCTTCAGTCTGATTGTTTTCGTGTTATTCTTCTCTGGTCTCTGCATGTCTGCCATCATGACGCATCTTGTACTTAGTGTGGTGGAAAAAGGGATCAGCGAACAGGCAGCGTCTTTCTTGATGTCTTTCTTTGGTATTGGAAATCTTATCGGAAAGATAATTTCGGCTGTTCTATTGGGCAGGAAACTGATAAGCGTCACCAAGTTGTTTGGTATCGCCATCTTTGGCTGGGGAATCTCGACCATGTTCCTTCGAGTCCCGACAACGTATTCTTGGTTCATTGTCGTAGCGTTGTCGGTCGGTACTTTTAGCGGCATCGACATCTGTACGGTAGCAATTGTACTAAAGGAAGTTGTTGGAGTCGCAAAATTAGGGCGAGGTTTCGGAGTTCTTATGGTCTTCACGGGTATCGGATGTCTCATTGGACCCGTCCTTGGAGGTTAGTATTAGCTTCATACACGATAAAGCAAATGCGTTTCAACATTTTAATAATAAATAATAATAATAGTGGGTTCTTGTATAGCGCTCATGTCAGTCAGGTTTGACCCTCCTGGCGCTCCTTTTAGCCTTAAATGAGGGAAATTGAGCTCAATAACAGAAAGTTATGATAGAATTGATATGACTGCACAATAATGGCAGTGAGATTTCTGCTATGATTTCGAATGAACGTTCATGATACAAAAAATGACTTCTTCACAAATTAAAATAATGGATTATTATATCTATAATAGTGAGAACATATAGAATAGATCAAGAACATAAGGCCTAAAAAAAGGTGTTGTATTGCCCTTTAGGTGCCAAAACATGGGTCGGTAGGTCGGATTTCCCCCCCCCCTCCCTCTTTCGGCTGATATTTCTCAGTTTTGAATGCTCTAATATTTTATTTCTCTAAAAAACGACCGTAGATTTCAAGATTTTGGGGTCGGTGGCAAAGGGCAATACAACATCTTTTGGCCTACACAATATTTTAAGGCCCGTACTCTATTTAGCTCAATAAAGTGCATTAGAACAATTCAGCTAACCCTCTATTTCCTCTTCCCTGCTCTATCGACTCTTATAATTGATTTAAATATATTTATTTTTAAGCATATAGGATGCAAATCATCTTCTTCTGTGATCATGTAAGGCACGTAACCGATTTGAATAATTTATTTTACAGGTTGGATATATGACCGAACCAAGAGCTTTGACATATCTTTTTTCTTGTTCGGAGCATTATTGGCCGCATCATCTTTCTCTCTCCTCCTCTTTGGAAAACTGAAAAAACTTGAAGACCGCCATCAGCGACGATCAATTGCAGAAGCTAGCCGAAAGAAGAGGATGAATCCTGAAGAGTTTGAGTGCGATGAGGTCGAGAAACTGAGGCGAAAGGACAGTAAGGTTAAGTGGAATGAAGATTCGAAACGCGACAGAGACGTGGAGGTCGTTGCTCTGAATGGACATGCCGATGGAGATGGATGTCGACAAGAAGACGTGGGAATCTGAAGTTTGATACGTCTTATAAGATCACAGTGAAAACTCCACAGAAAATGCGGTCTGCTTCATCTGGGCCCCGTCTTACAAAGAGTTGATATCAATCGCAACTATATGGCATAAGAGATAGGAGACTGCAGACTTGCGATTGATTGGAGGACTTGCTATTGCTTTTGATCAATCGTAAATTTTTGTTAGACGAGGCCCACGTATTCTTCTTTTTTTAAAATGACATTCCAAATGATAAGATGAAGGCGGTGAGGCCAATTAGTGTAGTCTCAGGGCAACAAAAGTCGATATTTAGAGACCGAGGTTTCAGTCAAAGTGACAGCACGAGCCACGATATAGATAATGAACTTTTTGTACCAGTGTGGTATTATTGAACTACTAATTACTGTTTATATATTATAAAATTAAAACTTTATGTACTGTAATGTGGCTCGGATAAATATGTCATCAAATAATTTACGGAAATATTCCAGATACCGAATTACCGATTTACAAAATCTGATGTTGTACTGTATGTCAAACTTGTCAACGTGGATAATGATCATGTGTGGCACAGATCCTAAATCTTGATCTGTATTTATTTATTTTGTTCGCTCTGTCTTTGTCTGTCTCTCTTCATCTCTCTCCTTCTCTCTCCTTCTCTCGCTCTCTCTTTCTCTCTCCTTCTCTCGCTCTCTCTTTCTCTTTCTCTCGCTCCATTTGTGTACATTGTATCGTCCCATCACAAGATAGTTTTGATTCACTGTTTCGATTTTTCGCCCATTTCCATGTGTGATATACATGGATTATAGCTTTGCAATGAACACCGTTATAACTCGGTAATAACGCAACCTCGTCATCGAGGGGCGATTGGGTTTCAAAATAGTAATGACATTCCAACTGTAAACACCGAACCTTTGAAGAGCCCTAAATTTCAGGCTTTTTTTTTTAGAATGTCACATCTTTGAGACGTAATTATTATATCTTCGGTAAATTTTAATATATTCCAGCAAATAGTCTTGGAAGTTAGTACAGTCAAAACTGCTTTAGCGACCACCTGTATAGAAAGCCCATCTGTCCATAATTACCACATTTTTCGTTTCCACTGAAAATGGTTTCTCATTGTAGAGGTGTCGTGGTCCAGTGGATATGTCACCGGACTGTGGATTACAAGGTCCGCGGTTTTAGTCCCGCCGCGGCACTAGTATCCTTTGGCAAGACATTGATCTACATCTCCACCCAGGTGTTTAATGGGTACCCGTTAGGATGCGAACGTAAATGTGGTTAGATGAGCAAGTGTGCGCTTGTGAAAATGACGCCTGGCTGGAATGCTCCCCAGGGAGTGGAGAATGTGCATACTTTATGTGCAGGTAAGCCTGAATGCGATGATAGGGGTAAACTGTACAGCGCTTTGAGAGGGTCAGTGGTCCTGAAATGCCCTATATAAGAACGAACTATTATTATTATTATTATTATTGAAGCCTGTACTAAAAGAACCTTTACATAAACACCATCTGCCTGTAAAGACCACTTTTCATGCTTCCCTAGAGCGGCCTTTATATACAGGTTTCACTGTGTACCAAAATGTATTCAATTATTAAGAAAAAAGTCATGCGAGTATTAGCAATCAACCGGCCTTCTCGGTTCTTTACTTAAGAGCATTTGATTCCTAAGACTTATCCATAATCCCTTTAGTTACCAACCTGGGCAAATATATTCATCTGAATGTTATAAGGAATAGGGATGTATTATGGAATTGGTAAACGTGAGATGTTTGGTAATAATTATTCCCGGTTATATGGTGTATTGTCATTTACTTTGGTGAATATTGTATGTTGTGTCATAGTGATGCAACAAAAATGTAAATTCTATTTTATTAATGTCATTTGTCTATAAATCATATACATGTTGTAATAATTCCCTGCTAAAATGTTTATGATATTAATATGCGTTGTTATATACAATGAATTGTCGTATACCTCCCGATGTAACATGGTGCTGTGATTGTAATCAAACGGGATTGTGAATAAATTACGTCATTAGTAATTTCATCTATATGATTTGCGTGTCATTTTCGCAGGTCCGCATTCTTTTTTATTTTATACGATGTGAAAGCAATCCAACCTTTGGAATAGATTGAGTGAAATAGCAGAAATCATTGAAAAGGATTTGCAACAAGAAAATTATTGTTTGAAAGCTGAGATCATGAAATATATTTTATCTCAAATTTCCGAACTTGTTATTCGATTATGATATAAGTGCATGGGCGGTTGCTCGGCCGATAGATCGATTTATCGACTAAAATTTCGATTTGGTTTCTTTCAGTTGCATCTACAATTCTCCGATTTGAATTGAGTGTGTAATATGAACAGCAGTAACAATATCAAATATTTATGACATTTGAAAATAAGTGGTTTTCTGAATTGTTTATATTTTTTATTTTTTATTAAAAAAAAAATATTTGTTAAAGCTATATAGGCTAACTAACCTCTTTCTCGAATTTATTGCTTCAACCTAAAGTCAATTGGATGGAGAGTTGATTCTCCTATTAAGGTTTTAAACAAGAGGTGAGAGAGAGGGGAGAGATGAAGGAAAGTGAAAAAGAACGTGATAAAAAATAAGGAGAGAGATTGCTCGAAACCTGTCCTAAACAGATTATAATATATGTGAATCAGTAACGTGGGGACAACATGATAAGTCTTAAAGGTACTATGTCCCATTTGCAGCCCAACAAATGAAAAGGTAAATTCCAACGGCATTTGAAAGATAACACTAATTTAAAACTTCCCTAAAAGGGAGGTTGGGGGGGGGGGGGGGCTTGCAAATGTCTTTGTGGGAAAATAACGACTATTAGTTGTCGAACCGACTTAAGAGCTATAGAGCCAGTATAGAGCCAGTAAGTAATTCAGAACATTGTACCCACTGGCGTACCTATGGGGGGGCAGGGGGGCAGAGTGCCCCCCCTGACGGGCTCCAGGGGAAAAAAAGAAAAAGGGGAAAGAAAAGAAAAAAAAGGAAAGGAAAGAAAAAGGAAAAAAAAGAAAAGGGAAGAAAAAAAGGAGAGAAAAAGAAAAAAAGGAAAAAAAGGAAAAGGAAAGAAAAAAGGAAGAAGAAGAGAAAAGGAAAAAAAAGGGAAAAGAAAAGGAAAGGAAAAAAATGGGGAAATTAAAAAAAAAAAAGACCATGGCCGTACGCACCAGGGGGGGGGGGGGCAGTTGACCCCAGATATTTTGAAAACGTACAGTTTTTTTCCTGCAAATGTAGTGTAGGCCTATACCAAATCCTTCAATTCTACTTTTGAAAATGCAAAAGTACCCTCATGACCAGTTCGGTCGCTCGAACTCCCTTCACTCCTTTTGCTTTTGAGATTCTTCGAAAACTTTTAACGCATCTTTCCCCCCTCCCCCACCAGAAAAATATTCCGCATACGGCCCTGAAAAATTTAGACAAATGAAAATATGAAAATATAAGTGATATAACAAATTCGAAACTCTTCGCTGGCGCGAACTGCTTGCTAGCCTATTTTGTATTAAATGTTTTCACTTGCCCGTCCCCCTGAAAAAAAGAAAAGGATTAGCATTGCCTAGAATACAATTGTGCCTGCCCCGACGGGCCCCGACCTGCAACCATGGCAACAATAACACACAGTGTATGTACCAAATGTTACTAAAAGAGAGTAATTCATTTTTCTCGCTCGCTACACTTGCTCGCGAATAAAATGAATAGATATTGCTTTGGAAACATTTGTGCCCACCCTTGACCTGCAACAATATCATTAAAAATGGAAGAGTTTTTACGCCCTCTCGCCAAAAAGGAATTGAATCGCGTTAAACGCGATTGCGTCCATTCTGACCTGCACCAATAAAAACTAGTTTATTTATTAATTTCTATTAAAAGAGAATTTTGTTTTGCTTGCTCGCTATGCTCGCTCACCAAAATGGAATTGACACCGCTAACGTGCCCGCCCCAACCTGCAACAACCAGTTAATAATTATGTACCAAACGTTATTCAAAGAAGTTTTGGTGTGCTCGTGCTCGCCAAAACGGAATTAATATCACCTTAGACATGATTGTGTAAGCCCTGCCCTGCAACAAAAAAAATGTGAAATTTATGAACCAATTATCATTACAAAAATTTTGCTCGCTCGCTACGCTCGCTCGCCAAAATAGAAATAACACCGCTTTTAATAATCACGTCCCTGACATGGAACAATGAACCCAAGTTTATGTACAATATTTTCCCTATAAAAGAGAAGTGATTCTTTTGCTCGCTCGCTACGCTCGCTCGCCAAAATAGAAATAACACCGCTTTTAATAATCACGTCCCTGACATGGAACAATGAACCCAAGTTTATGTACCATATTTTCCCTATAAAAGAGAAGTGATTTTTTTGCTCGCTCGCTACGCTCGCTCGCCAAAATAGAAATAACACCGCTTTTAATAATCACGTCCCTGACATGGAACAATGAACCCAAGTTTATGTACCATATTTTCCCTACAAAAGAGAAGTGATTTTTTTTGCTCGCTCGCTACGCTCGCTCGCCAAAATAGAAATAACACCGCTATTAATAATCACGTCCCTGACATGGAACAATGAACCTAAGTTTTATGTACCGCATTTTCCCTATAAACGAGAAGTGATTTTTTTTTCGCTAGCTCGTGGAATTATGTGCGCACCACTAACCTGCTACAATATCATTAAAAAGAGAAATGTAGGGGGTTGCCTTCCCGCCAAAATGGGATTGACATTGCCTTAAACACGATTGTGCCCGCCCCCGACCTGCAACAATGAAACAAATTTTATGTAGCAATTCATTGAGAGAAAGATGTATTTAGGCTCGCTAGCTAAAATGGGTATGAAATCACCATAAACACAATATTGTTCCCGCGCCCTGCATGGGACAATTGAACCAAGTTTAAGTGGCAATTATTAAAAAAAGAGTGATTTTTTTCTTGCTCGCTACGCTCGTTTGCAAAAAAATGAAATTAACGTCGCTAACAAGTGAATGTTCCCACCCCAACTTGCAACAATACCAGTTTATATACCAAACGTTACTTAAAGATTTTTTTTTGCTCGCTCGCTCGCCAGAAGTGAAAATTAGCATCGCCTTTTTTGTTTGTTTCGGTCGCTTGCCCCCCCTGACGCAGTACCCCAGGTACGCCACTGATTGTACCGAATGGTCGTACGTTTTATGCTGCGCAAAGATTCAATCAGTTTAATTTTGGCCATTACAAGAAGTGGGTTATTGATGTAGACAAATGCTCATGTACCCTTTACAGCTCATTTTATGTATGTTATTACCACAGAAGAAAACAAGCCAATCAGTCACTCAACAGTGTCTGACAGTGAAGTCTAGCAAGTAATCGGGTTTCCTTGCATAATTTGAATAAAAATTATGCTGACACCGCTTACGTTTAAATTTAACAGATATACATGACATATTCATAGTTCCTGCAAAGTTCTACAGAATTTGATGTTGGCTGCAAAAGGGACTGAAATCTGTTGTACGGCCGGGGTGCATTAAACAATTATTATCGAATTGGGATGATTCGATCTGCGTCCTGTATATAGCAGAAAAGAAATGAGTACGAGTGATAAATTCGCCTCCTGGGCATCGCCAATTTAGTCCTGGGACGTACGCCGAAAATTAGTTATATTAATGGGCCATTTTTTCAAATTGTTCTTAAATTGCCGCCAAAATTGACGCAAAATAAGATAAATTCACTATCAAAAATTGTCAACGGAAAACAAAAATCCTTGGAAAATAAGTTAATTTTGTTCAAAACGTGATCCCAAAATCATGCGATTGGTGATTTATTAATGGGCTTTTGGAGTTTATCTAAATGTTAACTAAAAGTATTTACTAAACTCGCATGAATTCAGTTTAAAAAATACACAATAAATTGTCCCCACTCACTAGGACTACATTTCGGTACTTAAGGTATTATTTACCTCATTTTATAATACCCTCGAAATCTAAAAAGATATTTCGATTATTGAAACGATTTTTTATTTTGCGAGTGCCGAATGGATGTAATCTCGTCATAGCGACTGTTCATTAAATATAGGCCTATGGGAAAAGGCTAGTTAGCCCGGCTATCGAAAAACGTCAAGGTAAGTAGGGTATAATTACGTATCACTGAAACAAATTGTAAGAGGACACTTATTTTTTTTTTTTTTTTTTGTCTCGAAATTTGGAAATTTGACATTTTGCTCCTTTGGGGGGGGGGGGGGGGGTAAGGTCAGCTTCTTTAGGTCGACCATGGGATTTTTTTTTTTTTTTTAATACATTTTTTTTTTAATCCAAAGGGGGGGGGGTTTAGGGGGGTTTAGTGGGGGTTTACACACAGAAAAATACCAAAGGGGAGGGTTTAACCCCCCAAACCCCCTCCCCCTGTGTACAGTGCCTCTCAGGAAAACAGTTGGAATACTGAAAGAGTTACCCCGTCTAAATAAAACGAATGAATAAATAAATAATAAAAAATACGTACAACACTAGCAAAGATCATCGCTAGATGGCGTGCTTCATCTATGATGGTTTCTTCCAATTAAGCTTGCCTATATAGCTAGGCGGGGGACGACCTCGTTTTTATAGTTTCGTTCACTACCCAGGGCAGTAAGCCTAGTCTTTAAAATAGAGGTTACAAAAAACAAACAAAAAACAGATTCCCAAAAGTCGTATCAGGAGAATTACCCCTTGGACAATCACCCCCGGAAAAACTACCCCCCCCCACAGGACAATTACCCCCGGACAATTACCCCCATCCCCAAGGAAAGTTAACCCTTGTTCATTGAAGTTGGTTTTAAGAAAAGCAGATTTTGTTTTCAAGGGGTAATTGTCGAAGAGGGTATACCTTATGTGTGTTTCTAGCTAGCTCTTTTGTTCGTTTGTTTTCAGTTTCGTCATAATTGTTTTGTTTCGGTGGCCGTTTGATTTAATTTTGTTTTATTTTTTTTTATTTTTCTGATCTGAGAAGTTTGGCTAAAAAAATGTACCCCCATTTGCTTTCTTGCTTGCTTGTCCGACGGGAATCTGGCAGCCTCCCCCCCCCC